CCCCCCTCCAAACATTCGGGATTGTAGACAAAAGCTGATGCCAAATATCGGTCTGATTTCATTGGCTTGAGACGGGTCCATTGCATCTTAGACCAGTTAAATTTTTCAACAAACCAGGGCTTGAAATAACAACTGATCACCAATCAATAATCATCAAGAAATTGCTTATGATCAGCGGAAAAGCAGGGTTTCCAACCTGAAAAGTAGGGAAAGTCATGACTGCCGATCACCATGACCGGGAACTTCGGGAACGTTATTTCAGGCCCTGACAGACAAACTCCATCACCATGTTGATAGATGTGTCTATATACATTATCTAAGCATAGTATAGGAATAATAGAATACTGTGTTAAAAACCATGACAATTTAATATTTCAGATAACTATATAAGTAAAGTAATAGTAATTTGTAATGAAATCTTTTGTATTTGAATCTACTCCCACCGGGCACACGACGTTGTTTCAACGTTGAAATTTGGTAGAAAAAAGGTTGCGACGTCGACAACCTAATATCTACGTTGGTCTGACGTTGTTTTACAAACATTGGTTCAACAGCAGCCAACAGACGTTGAATTAACCTTCATTCATGGTTAAATGTACGACGTCGATTTGTGAACCAATCTCAACGTTGTTTTAACGTGGATTCAACGTTGAATTATGGTTGACGAGATTGGCAACCTAATTTCAACGTTGTTTCAACGTCGAAACAGTAACGTCGATGCAATTTGCATAGTCAACTCTTTTTTAACGTCTATCCAACGTCTGAAAGGTCATTTCCAACGTCGATTCAACGTTGGATAAACGTCATTTTGCCCGCTGGGCTGTGATTAAAATATGTTTAAAATGCCAGGTAAAATAAAGTTGTTTTCAATAAAAGTTGGCTTCCACTGAAGCTGCAGTTTTGAGGCACCGTTTCATGTGCAATATTGTACATTTTCATAGTGAACAGTATATAACAAGATGGTGAATTTAATTAGATTAGACATAAGTTGGTAATAGGGGGACTGGGAAAGGGGCTATAGGGAGAAACTGGGCAATTTCACATCCATGAAATGTCCCATATTGTCACCCATTTTTAACCAAGCTCCTTTTGCTGTGGTGAAGGTGTGAGGTGGGTTTATTGCACCTTAAAACCAGATTGCTCATTTTAGGTGGTGTTCATTGTTCATTTTATTGTCACCCATTTCTAAGTTCTGGCCTAACTTCTTTTGCTCTTACAAAAGATGTGAAGGCAAGCAATCTTGTTTTAAGGTGCCAGAAACCTGTGTCCTTTGTTCAGCTTTTTCAAGGAGCTGTCCTTGTTGGATCACAGTTTACTATTTTTGGTAAATGTATTTCCTAGGCATGCTGATGAGCCAGGGTATACATTGTAGGGCGAAACAGTTTAATATTAATATATCATATGCTGAACATTGGCAGGTACGAAAATTATGTCATTTACGCATTTGTAGTTTGATAAAACCAAATATCTGTACTTCCACGGAAATTGGACTATCATCCTGACATCAAATGACGTCATGTCAGATGACGTCATCACGTTTCACACGTGGTCATCCTAGGACCGCCCCTGACTGCCAGTGATGTCAATTGTTCAAGGCGGTCAACGTCGAAGAAGTTCAAATAGTAGTCCACTGTTACTAAATACGATTTATTTTCAAATTCAAAGATATCACAACCGGTTTTTGCCCCTGCTCTTTTTGGTATTTCATGCGGGATGAGAGGTTCTTTCGGCTGCCTGGCTCGCCGACTTGTTGATGCGAACCCTTGGTGTGCTGCATGTAATTCATTCAGTACTTGCTTTTGTAGTGATTTTGGAATAACGACGCGGTCTCCCCTAAACACGAGGCCGTCTTGTGTGGTTAATTCGTCTCGTAGACGGATGTACGGGGTAATTGTTGGAAATAGATCTTTGGAGCTTTCGGGCCATCCTGGCTGGCTGGATGAATGATTTGACTTGCTGTAGGTCTTGATCTTTCGTTGTGTGATCTTGGAATATGGTTGCTGTTTCACAATTTAGTATTTCGTTGATTTCGTCCAAACTGTCCACTTGGTCGAGATCGCTGTCGACGCTGCGTGCTTCGTCGGTGGAGTTGTCTAAATGGTGACGACTGAGTGTGTCAGCTAGCAGCATCTCTGACCCTTTCTTATAAACGATGGTTGAGTCATATTGCTGTAATTTCATCATCATCTTTTGAAGATGTCTAGGTGCTGCTGACAGAGGTTTCTGATGAATGACTTCGAGCGGTTTGTGGTCTGATTCTACTGTGACTGGTCGGCCATATGTATACTGGTGAAAACGCTCGGTTCCGTAAACTACAGGGTGTATAAAAAAACTGAACAGATTTGAAATTACTCTCAATTTCGCAAAACACCTATTTGTATCCGTTTTTTTATATATATAGCTTCTTTAGGTACTTATAATGTAGAATAATGAAAAAAATTTCTCAAACTCAAATTTTGTAAACCAGGGGGAAGGGGTGTCTTTTCCAACAAACTAAAAATGGCTCGCGCACAAAATTTAAAAGTTGTAATCATACTTTGAGTTAATAGATAGAAACTATGTTGGGTTTTTAATTACTGTACAAAATTTCAGACAATTTGGTTTAGTCTAAGTCCTTTAACTATTCATTTTATTCTAAAAAATCAGCCTTGCGCATGCTTAATTAATGACTTTACCTAATTTGCATATTGCTAACATATGCAAATTAGGCAAAGGCATTAATTAAGCATGCAAATAGCTGATTTTTAGGAAAAATGCAACTTTGCGTGAATATCATGTTTCGCTCGCTACTCTTGTTTAAATAAGTGATTACAAAGCCCAGACGACTTGTAATCAAGACCCAACGTTTCGACACTCCAGTTAAAGGGTTTAAACTACATCAAATTAAAGGGCTTAATCTAAATCAAATTGTCTAAATTTTTTTACAGTAATTAAAAACCAGACAAATTTTCTATCTATGAACTCAAAGATGATTACAACTTTTAAATTTTGTGCGCGAGCCATTTTTAGTTTGTTAGAAATAACACAACACCCCCCTGGTTAACAAAATTTAAGTTCAAGAAATTCTTTTCATAATTCTACATTATAAGTACCCAAAGAAGCTATATATTTGCGAAATTGAGAGCAATTTCAATTTTTTTATACACCTTGTATAGCTAACAGTTCCTTTTCTATCTGAGCGTATTGTTTCTCTGCGTGCGTCAATGTTCGGCTTCCAAATGCGACAGGCTTTCCCTCTTGAATGAGTGCGGCCCCCAGGCCGTGGTCGCTAGCGTCACACTGTATTGTCAGGGGTTTGGTCGACTCGTAGTACTTGAGGACTGGCGGTTCTGTGATCAATTTCTTTATTTTGGTGAAAGCGGCGTCATGCGATTGGGATCAAAAGAAAAGGCTGAGATTTTTTATAGTTGTCGTAGTGGTTCAGATACTTGTAAGACATTGAGGTCTTCTTCAACTTAATCTTGTTTGGGTTAAGCTTGATATGTTCAGCTCTGCAGCGGTCGAATAGTTCCTTAAGCTTTCTGTCATGGTCGGCTACAGCTTCCTGTGATCGTCTCTCCATTTCCTATTACTAAAATGTCACCAGCAACAATCCGTACACCATCCAAGTCATCAATTGCCTGGTCAAGTCGTTGCTGGAAAATCTCTCCTGCAGGGGAGATCCCGAAAGGCACCCGTTGCCATTTAAATCGTCCAAATGGAGTGTTGAACGTCGTTAAAAGAGACGATTCTTCGACTAATTCTATTTGCCAATAACCGTTGCTACAGTCGACTTTGGTAAAGACTTTTGCATTGGGCAGTTCTGGAAGTATGTCGTCAATTGTCGGTATTGGATGGTGGCATCGTTTCAGCGCTTTATTGAGTGGTCTGGGATCGAGGCTTAATCTAATTTTGCCATTGGCTTTTGGTGCAACAACAATTGCGCTGACCTAGTCTGTTGGATAATCTACTCGTTCTATGACCTCAAACTTGACAAGTTCGTCCAAATGTTCTCGCAACGGTTGCTTCAGCGACTCTGGGGTCAACTTCAAGACGCAGTGCTGGGCCTAAGGTTCCAAGACCTTCAAAAACATCTTGGTATGTTTGCTGTGTTGGTGTAGTGTACTCAGGTGAATAAGATGCTTGTGATGTTACTCTGAGTGTATATCCACACCGGGCAGGCTTGAAAAATATGCCTGGCCACGGTGGGAATCGAACCTACGACCTTTGGAATACTAGCCCAATGCTCTTCCAACTGAGCTACGCGGTCAGGTCGGTTCGAGTATGTGATATTTCGGAACTGAGTCTAGTTCCTTCGATATAAGTGTGATCTAATAATCATGATATTTGCTGTGTTGGTGTAATGTACTCAGGTGAATAAGATGCTTGTGATGTTACTCTGAGTGTATATCCACACCGGGCAGGCTTGAAAAATATGCCTGGCCACGGTGGGAATCGAACCTACGACCTTTGGAATACTAGCCCAATGCTCTGCCAACTGAGCTATGCGGTCAGGTCGGTTCGAGTATGCGATATTTCGGAACTGAGTCTAGTTCCTTCGATATCAGTATAATCTAATAATCATGATACTTGCTGTGTTGGTGTAGTGTACTCAGGTGAATAAGATGCTTGTGATGTTACTCTGAGTGTATATTCACACCGGGCAGGCTTGAAAAATATGCCTGGCCACGGTGGGAATCAAATCTACGACCTTTGGAATACTAGCCCAATGCTCTGCCAACTGAACTACGCGGGCAGGTCGGTTTGAGTATGCGATATTTCGGAACTGAGTCTTGTTCCTTCGATATCGAGAGTGACATCGCAAGCATCTTGGTATGTGTCTTTGACGTTTTGCATTGTCAGTCCCATTTGATCAGGCCGAGTCATGTCTTCATTAATTTGATCGACATGAATTGGGCTCCCAATTTCAATCAAATTCATTTGTTGCACGGTGCGGCAGCCAAGAAGGTTACTTTTTGCATTCTGGTCATCAACAACAGTGAATGGTACTTTGAACTTTTGCTTTGTAGTTGGGTCTTGTACTTGTGTTTTGCACTTTCCAAGGGGTGTGAGTGATGAGTTGATGTACATCTTTAGAACATGTGCTGTAGGTTTGATGCGCCGTTCATATTTAGTGCCTTTTAATTCACTCCTTTTTAGGACATTGCCGGTTCCCCCTGTATTAATTTGAAATTTGGTTGTGTTCCCTCCTTTTATTTTCATGGTAGCAAATGTACGTGATTTGTAAATGTTCGTTTGTTGTATTGTACTGATGGTATCATTCTCGGTGGGGTCTAGTTCGACAGTCATAAGGGAGTTGCCTGAATCACTTGAGTCGTTTTCAGTTACTGCGTGAAGTGACTTTTGGCGGGAATTTTCCTTTCTGCATACAAACTTTGGCGAAGTGATTTCGCGACCACAATTCCGGCAGGGGCTTCCAAATGCTGGACATAATTCTTTTTTCGTTGGTGCATTGTTCCACAATATTTGCGTTTAATTTTTTCCTCACGCCCCCCCCCCCCGTCACGCCTATCAAGTCTGACACGTCTGTCATCGCGTCTTTCGGTTCCTGTGCTTCCGGTTTCGGTTTTGTTGTTTACAATGCCGTTGATTTCGCCCTCATTTGCTTCACTGTTCGCCTGGATTTTCTTGACTTGTTTCTTCGTGGTCTCGCTACTGCGACAGATGTCGATGGCTTTTGTCAAGGTGAATTTTTGATCTTGCAATAGCTTTTTTTGAGTTGCATTATCGTTGATTCCTATGGCCAGGCGATCGCGTATCAAAGAATCTCGTAAACAATTACAGAAATTACATGATTGTGCCAATGTTCGCAATGCTGTTACGTATTGATCGACTGTTTCGCTTTCATTCTTTTGTCTGCTGTTGAAAACGAATCTCTAAT